AGGTTATTTGAGGCAAACTGTCGACAATTGCCAGGAAGCAGAATCTCTAGCGAATGGCGTTTTTGTCCCACACCCCCATGTTTTATACATTACAATCATAAGGAGAAATGTAAGTGGGTTACATTAATTCCATTGGTGATGGATTACAGAGGCATGAGAGAGCAAAGCAGGGGCAACCTCAGGGATTGGATAAAAAGTAAAATGATAGACATATACTTCTTTTACTCAGGTAGTTGCAGGATAGTTAACAGTCAACAATTAACTTGATAACAATAACAATGAAGGAATTTATGGTCTCTGTCCTGGCGCCCAGGCACATTTGGTCCAGAAAAGGGTATTTACAAGTTATTCTGACATTTCACAAGGATGTCATCTTAGATGCAAAGAGACAGTTGGCTCAGTTAAGGTAGAGATTGACCTTTATCTGGGAAGATACTGGTCTAGAACATGACTACCCACTATAAACTGCTTTTAGTTAAAGTTTTAATTTCAGAACATCCTTGGTAGTTACTTTAGGGCTTTGAGTTTGCAAGACGGCTGAGCTTGTCAGGTTAGCACGTGGCCTTTTTTCATCCACAGGTTGTCAAGCAGATTCTCTGCTGATCTAGTCATCTGCCTCTTCCTGGTGCAGAGAGGGAGACACCGCCCAATCCTCTATAAATGCAGACGTCCCGTTCACAGGGGACTCCCTCTGCTGCTTCTCAAAACCAAGCGACGTGTTCTGGAGCAGCAGCTGGAGCACCTGGAAGACGATGGACACTCTTGCTGTTTCCCCCAGTAACCATACACTCACTGTCACCGAGAAAAAAGAAACTCCAGATGCGGGAGTATATTCTGTTTGGTTGAATTTTTTGTTGTTGTTAATCCTCACCTGAAGATATTTTTTCCATTTCTTTTTAGAAAGCATGGAAGGAAGAGGAAGAGACACAGAGAGAGAAACATCAACATGAGAGAGACACGTCGATTGGTTACCTCCCTCATGCACCCTGATTAGAGCCTGGGTTCAAATCTGTAACCGAGGCACATGTCCTTGACCAGACTCGAACCCCTGACCCTTCAGTCCGAAAGCCAACACTCTAACCACTGAGCAACCAGCTAGGGCTGAATTTTTAACTGATGCGGCATTTATAATGGCCCCTGCCCCCCACACCACTACTTCCCTCTCTCTTAATTAACCTTGACAGTTGGGCTCCAGGTCAAGAAGAAATCATAGTCTAGGACAGCCGTGGGCAAACTACGGCCCATGGGCCGGATCGGCCCGTTTGAAATGAATAAAACTAAAAAAAAAAAAAGAAGACCATACCCTTTTATGTAATGACGTTTACTTTGAATTTATATTAGTTCACACAAACACTCCATCTATGCTTTTGTTCCGGCCCTCCGGGCCAGTTTAAGAGCCCATTGTGGCCCTCAAGTCAAAAAGTTTGCCCACCCCTGGTCTAGGAAGATGATCTAAAATGTTAATTTAAAATTTTATACATTTTCTATTCTGGGTTTTATATAGAAGTTTTAAAAAAACATAATGTAAACTGTTGGATTATATTAACTCTCGGGTAAATTTTTTCTGTAAATCTTATTTGACATCTAGAAGATTTTTTCCCTAGAATTCCAATTTATTTTTAGCTGTAGCAATAACATACTCTCTGCATTTAAGCTGTAAATAAATAAATAAATAAATAAAGCAAACGAAGCCACTTTAAATGGAGTCGGAGCTGCGATCCCAGAGGAACTGCCTTGTCGGTCTTTCTCCTGAAACCTGGGCATGATCGCCTTGAACTGGGTCTAAAGAAGCATTGTACCCAAATAACTGCCTGCAAAGCTAACAAGAAAGTAGACATTATGACTCCCAGATTGAAGATTAAAAACATTCCTTAGAATTAGTATCACTGTTATGTTATCTGCACCAATAGAAATGCCTTCTTTCTATTGATGTCATTGTTCCCTTGCTTTTTGCCTCCTAATCAGAACACTGTTTGGACTTCTGCCTGAGTCAGTGCTACCTCAGTAGCCATTTGTTTGGACCTCACCCCACAGTCACACTGGCTGTAGTCTGGTTACTTGGAGGAAGAAAACAAGAAGCAAGCTCTAGGCGACTTCTCTGTTTTCTTCTCAAACAAGCTTCAAGAAAATTACTCTGAGCTTGTTCAAACAATAAGGAATACTTTATTCAAGACTACCTTTACAACAGGGGCAAGGGATCGGCCCCAGGCCAGATGCAGCAAAGCTGGCTGTGGGTTGATAGCCAAGGAGCAGTGAGGGGTGAGGGGTGGAGAGTCACTGTGTTATAGTAATAAGTTAGTTAGTATAAGATAGCATAATCAAATTTCATTTTTTAGTAGAGTGAATTTTAAACTTTACTTAGTAGAGGAACTTAATTTGTATGTGTGTGTGTGAGACCCTGATAAGTAACTTGTAACGCCCTGCATGTTCACTCCTGACAAGTAACTTGTAACTCCTGACCAACAACTCCCTGCATGTTAACTCCTGATAAGCACCTTGTAACCCCCTGCGTGTGTATCCTGATGAGCCCAGAAGGCCCCCGGAGCACACTGATATGGGACACTGAAGAAGCCTGTTATAGTAATAAGTTTAGTTAGCATAAGTAGACTCCATTTTGTATTAGCATCAGTTAGCATAAGTAGACCCCATTTTATTCTTAGACCAAAACTTGCAAACAACTCCAAAATAAGATGTGTGTGTGTGTGATTGATAAGCTTTGGACATGTACACAACTTTCCCACCTGAGTGTGTACCTAGATAACAGGGCGGCCGGCACCCGTGTATGGCGCCCGATAGGAGACACTGAAGACGCCCAGCTTCAAGGATTTAAGGAGAGCAAATCTGCTGCGGTTCAGACAGCCATTCTCTTCCCCCCTGGAAACTGCCAAACTGCCATTCCTGCCCTGCCTTTGAGCCCAGACTGTTAGAGGCCTCTCTTAGAGT